TTCTTTTCCCTCCATTTGTTCCCCATTAGTTCTGTTTGTTCCCCGTTTGTTCTGTTTGTTCCCCGCTAGTTCCGTTAGTTCCGCTTGTTGCGCATTAGTTCTGCTCATTGCGCGCTGAGTTCCACTCATTGGGAACCCTCTGCATCTTTGTGTTCCCAATCCTAGTGAGGACCGGAACCCTTTGGGTCACTAGACAGAGTCTAGTCTTTGCTTTCCTCTCACTTATTTGAGGACTCGCTACCCAGTAGCAATCCCCTCGGGACAAGTATAAGTCTCGCACCCTTGTTAGACATCTGAATCACCCAGAGTCTATTTTCCTCACCCACAGTGGGTGGGTAGCAGAACGGTAGCAGAACACATGGGAAGATGGTGGTAAGGCTTGGGAATTATACGGGATATGGGCCTACAGTGGGGATGTTCCCCACACCGTGCACGGTACACAACACCTAGATTAGTATATGTTAAATTCAATTTCAACATATAGATTGTACATGTAGACAGCATATTGCATACCATACAAGCCAGATCCTAAGATGTCTCCCAACCTAAATCTGCCATCGACCCAAATTGGGACCTTGTTCATTGTACAGTAAGATATTTGAAGAGTTATTAGACAGAAACGACAGAAGAGGTTGCGTGCACACAGGTGTCAAGTTGGTTGGAGCCTGGTTCAACCGGCTCAAGCTGCCTTTCACACATAATGGGCTCAAAGCTGGTTCATGCAGCTAGCTGAGGTGAACCGGGCCAAAAATCAAGTGAGCCCACCTACTGCTAACCAAACTGCCACATAGCCAATAGAAGCCAAAGCCAAACCAGCCATAGCCGAGCCACCCCATTACTAACTGTAGATATCAAGTAAGTAATCAGTCAGCAAAGTGAAAAGCTATGTCTGAAGCATATGGAAAATCTATTAGTAAGTATACAATGGATCAAGAAATGAAGTCAGAAATGAAATGCAGAAAGACAGATCAGTAAGCAAGGTGGAAAGGTGTACAACCAGTAGCCGGAGAGCAGTAATCTAAAAGGAGATAGGTGTGAGTCTGGAGATGAAATCGGAGCGCCAGACGGAAAACAGGGCAGAAGTCCAGGCTTTTATAGGGGAGAATCTGGAATTCTGGGTCCAGAAATATGGGATATGACAGGTTTTGTGGATGATCATGCACAGCTCCATCAGCATTTTCTTCATCTAGGTTGCGAATCCATATCATGCACAGCTCCACAGGTGTCTGCTTCATCTGCCAGTGGGCTGTGCCAATCCATATCTAATAACAACAGCAAGTTCAAGGAATTTGCACGTGGACATTTTAACTGTGCTCCATGTGCCTCAAAGTCACCAGGTCATTTTGACCAAGTTGAAGAGACATCCACATTGGAGGAGTTACCTGGAAGTACAGAACTTGAAGTTGACACAGTCTGTGCATCAACATGGGCTTGTATTTGTACCTGCAAGTCGATGGAGACATTTCCAACATGAATAGTCTCCCTTTCCTCTTCAGTTTCAGCCACTTGTAGGTGTTTATACCATTTTGCATGGGAAGCAGTGTGAGGATGACTGCCATTATGTCTCCTGCAGACACAAGTGTAGCCCAGCATAAGTGCACATCTTAATGCACATCATAAATTATACATGTTAGTAGATACAAGAGACAGAAAGTACTTACAATGCTAGGATCAGTCAGAAACACACTAGAGTGTGCCCCCTACACCAAAGGGGGTTACTGCACAAGGAGGGCAGAACTGGCTTGTATTTGGAATGTGTAGTACATTGTGAGACTATGTGTGCACTGTGTATGAAAATGTCTGACAATGAGATGTAACCAATGTGATTGATGTGAAATGCATGCAAAATGATGGCAAAACAATAGCATTAATGACATTTTTTTGATGTGATCTAATGTAATGCACAGACAATGTGGTCCTTCCAGATTCTATATGATTCTAACATAATGTTACATGGTCACAACATATATCACGCTATCCTGACCATTTTGGCCATAGGTAGAGTCTACTAGGCATGATGGATTGAGCATGCACATACCAAACAAGCACATACACAACATACTTGTTTGCCATGTAATTATTATACTATTACCATCATTTAATTTATCTCAGTTCTTTGAATATTGTGCTATGAGGAAGACATTTAAAAACAATGATATTGTATTACTGTACCTCTGTGTATGGAGGCAACTGTGGATCGCGCGTGACACACCGCCACAGTTGCAAAGTTAGTAACCTTGTCTAATTGCCTGTGACATTAGAACCAATAGCAACCAATGTGCCTGTTGTATGTCAGAGTGGCATCGGGTTCAAACTCTCGCAGAGGGGAATTTTGACTTAGCATGAGTAGACTACTGATTAACTGCAGTGTACATTGTCAGTCCATACCAAATGTTGGTTCAACAGGGCCCATCCTCAGAACTCATCTCTCACATCCATCATCTTGTTGAGCTGTTAAAAATTCTGCCTACAGTCCTTCCACTCGACCCCCCGAGTTCGCAATATGGGTTTGGCCTTGACACTGAACTTGTAGAGGAGGAGGGAGTTTGGTTTGCATTCAATAGGAACCTCGAAGTCTGCTTTGAGACTCACAAACTCGTGCTGAATGGAACCATTGTTTTCCACAAACGAGGAAAGCGGTATGAAGTGCTCATCACTGATATACCTTGTAGCGCTGTAATTCAGGATACTTTCGGGATCAAAGGGGTTGATGTTGCAGCTGCAGACACTGCACAATTTTGTGTCCATGATGTACAGTGAGGTGATGGGCATGGACTGGTTGCAGCAGGAGACAATGAGAATATATGGGCACTAGTAAACAAGCAGGAAATTTGGCACAGTGGCAAAAAAGTAGTTTTAGTCATTTTTGTGGCGGAATTTTTTTTTTTGATTTTTACAATATTAATGTACCTACAGTTAGCAACTGACCCCCTGTGACGCGTTACTGGTGGGATAAATTAGCAATGCAACCAAGGCCCTGTGACGCATTACGGTTGCCTCCATACACAGAGGTACAGTGTGCAATGCCTATGAGGCTCTGTGAGAGGCATTGTGATGACATATGGAAATGGTGCAACATTGAGCCTCATCAGGAGGTGCTCTCCATAAGACATAGTTGGCCCTCAGGTGACAAGGCTCACAAGGGAGAGCTGTAAGAGAGCCACAAACTAAGGAAGAGACCTCCTGGAGGAGGGGGTCTTACAGACCACTTGTTTCTAACATAATAATAGGGTCTCTCATAGTGTAAGAACTTCTTCAAAGTGCTGCCAAGGGTGGAGTTTTCTCCCATTGGGGGAGTATGACACCAAATCAGTTCCCTCAACCACTTGGAGTAGCCCAAGGACTATTTTGCCTGTCTTCCTTCACCACAAGCATTTCATATCATCCCAGGATGCATTTGTAAATGTCTCACCACTCTCATGTCCCTTGATGTATGTTTTTGTATGCTGAAACTTCCCAGACCAGGATGCTTCTGTTCCAGGCTCCACTCACAATCCAATGCCCATTTGGGAATTCTGCCACTATGCTGACCACCTCATCATAATCCAACAATGACTCTCCCACTTGTTTCCCCATATTCAAATCCCACAGCCAAAGATTCTTGTTATGACATCAGGAAAACCCTCCCATGTAAACTTAGGCTAGTTAGAACTAATTGGAGATGATTTGTTCTAATTGTCCTAATTAGGTGGATTACAAGGCTAGCAGAACTATATTACCTTTCAATTTAATTTTTGCTAGCCCATCACTAGCCCATCACTAAATAGACTAAATTAGAAAACCTAGAATGCAACTAAAGGCACCTTAGATTCTTCTAGGTGACACTAGACAGACTTTCACACTTGTGAACATTGGAAAAAAAATATAGTGTAATTACAGCCGTTTGCATAAATGATGACAGTATGCGCCTTTTTGAGAAAGAAGAAGAAATAAATAATCTAACCTAGTATTTCATCTCGCACTGCAACAATCATCATTGATGTACTTATCGAAACATAAGCCACAACATTAAACTTGCTGCCATTAATCTCTATGAACGTCAACATCTCTCTCTCCACAATATTCTTACATGTGTCAGATTCTCAGGACAGTACTTTCTGGCGTGTCCTTAAGCTTTGGCGCGAGACAGGCGATGTCATTAGCCCCACCTGTAGCCTTTGTGGGTGCCCTCATGTTCTCCACTGTGATGATGTTGTTTATCTCATCTGTCTCATCCATCACTGTCCTGGGTGGTTCTTGGATGAACTGCTCGAGCTACTTGATACAAATCTGTACACTACACCACAATTCATTGCGAGCTGGAGTGTATTGGTGTTTCCCTCAAAAAGCTCAAATGGATCACAAAGGAAAGGAACAAGCAGCGGAGAATGGAGTTCACTATTCGGATGAGGTCAATATCTACCTGAGGAGATTGGTTTTCTTGACGAGACTTCGACAATACAGAGCAATCTAAACTTCTATGCGAGAATCAGTCTGAATCAGTCCTTCATAGCCCATCGTGTGACAGCATCTTTCATTGCAGCGATTTTGCCATTCTTGAAACCCATCTCCTTCAGCTCAGAAACAATGATATACCTGATAGTTCGTGTCCCCGTATAGCCATTGTCAGTGAGTTTGGTGAGTATGTCCTGCGAGAGTTCAAATGCAATGCAGAAGTCTGCTAGGGACATGTCTGGACCAGGCCTTGCAGAGACAGAAAGGAGTGGGATGTCAGTGGTGTGTGTATTTGCAATATGGTCTATGGGAGCAGTGGGTAACAGAGGGTTGGGTGCTGCAGCAGGTCATAGAAAGCTAAAGAAGTCATTTGGAACATTGATTGTTGCAGTGCGAGATGAAATACTAGGTTAGATTATTTATTTCTTCTTTCTCAAAAAGGCGCGTACTGTCATCATTTATGCAAACGGCTGTAACAAAGGCATACAAAGTACAAATCATAGTATGCTAGTAATGATTTTGGACCAACTTGGAGAACAGCAGTAATACACTCAACAAATCCACACATGCATAATGAACCTGAGTGGGGGCCTATGTCAGAACCATGCCTAATAGGTAATAAGGGGGTTACAGAAGGGCTTAGCTTCAGCTCATGCACTGCACTCCTTATGCAAGTACAGGCCCTTGACTTCAGAGGGCAGAGAGGAGACTCAGTGGAGGTCAACTCTGACATGCTTGGGATAAGGCCACAAAAGAGTAAGTCCAATATAGAAAGTAGTATAGAGACTGTCGGAAAACAGAGGTGGAGATGATGAGGGGAGGCTCAAGGACAGAGTAGGCAGTGAGCAAGGCTCAAGTCAAGTCAGAGGTATTCAGGATAAGTTTGCATCTATAATCATATTTTGAAGAAACACTACCAGAGTACATGGGGTTTATATACTATAGGAAAGCTTGGTTATGCAGTATAGCACAGCAGAGTGTAAAGTGGAAATATGATACAATGAACCATACTATGTAACTGGCTTATTGTTAGAAGATCTCAATGATGGATGTATGCACATTATCTAGAACATTCAACTGGGACACACTGCTCATCATAAAGTACAGGGGGCCCAAGCCAGTACGACGACAAGAAGGGGATGAAATTCACTATACTCTTCACACCTCTTCAGCCACTTGACCCCAAGTGTCGAAAGAATGCAAAGTTGACCACCACTACAGAGATAGTCTATGTCCATGAAGACATGTCCATGAAGGACATGATTACCAAAGTCCTCGAAAATATCAAATGACATGACTTGCTTGGCACTTCTTGGCTCTATGCCAGCTTCGAGCTTGAAGGATCGGACTCACTCTCTTTCACTTACACTGTATATTGGTCTCAAAACAAGGATGTTTCTCTCAACAACAAAGATGACTATGCTGAGCTCTGTACTCAGGTGCAGGATGTGAGAAAAGTGGAGGTGGCACTCAAATTACTCAAACAGAAGGTATATATCTTCCTTGTGTTGTCTATTTGGCTTATAGAGTTGTTAACATTGAGGTTATCACTGGCGACAATCCAACCAAAGACAAGCAAGATGAAGAAGACAATGAGAACCCCCAAAAGAAACAAAAACAGGTATATATGCACCGTAATTTGTTCATTTCATGTGTGTAATTGCTGATGTGGTTATAGTGTGTGCCATCAACAGAGGAAATAGCACAAGGCCAGCATGTCGTCAACCTGCAAAACAAATATCACTGTGAAGACCGAGCCTGCCCATATGACATATGTTATCCCTCAGGTCCAACTGCCAAGCATGTCCATCTCACCCACAAGCACCTTCAAACATGGGCAGCTGCAATGGCATGGAATCTGAACATTTTTTCCAGCACATTTACTAATATGTCATTCACAGGAGGCTAATACAGTCGGAGTTGATATTGAGCATCCTCCGAACTCAAAAATCTTCAATCCAACCAACCATGATAATGATGAGGATGATATCACAGCTCTTGCACAAAGACGACATGCACAGCTGGCAGGTCAGGATCACAATAATCAATCCAACATTACTGTCAACTTCGCTGGGCTAGCCAAGCTAATCTGACCATCCTCTTCATCAAAAAATCTGAGTCACAACACCCCAATGGTAAAGGCTATCCCTCCGAAACTCAATCTCCAGTCTTTTACCACCTGGTTTGGTCTATTGAGGCAGCTTCATGACAAGCTAGAAGTAATTCATCTTGATGGACCACACCTTCTCCATCTTGTCTCCAATGAGCAGCTTCAAACTGAGGGTGGCCTCTCTCTGGGTGAAATCACAGTTCTTTGTGATGCTGAGGAGCATTGGAAAGAAGGCCATCATGATTGAATCCTCTTCTGTTGTACACTATTTGAAACATGCTCACAAAACTGTATTTGAAGTTATCATATGTAACCTGAGTTGTGGAAAAAGCCCCATGTCATTGATGGTGTGATACAATCACAAGCACTATATATCTCTTAGTAGAGTTTCTTGGCACTAAAAGCATATAACCCACTGCGACGAAGGTGAGATTTGATAACACTGAATGCTTGCTTGATGGGATTGTAGTCAGGTGAATAGGGTGGTAAGTAT